ACACACCACAAGCCTCACCGAACGTCTCCTTGCTACCGTGACCTCGCCCACAGGAAGCCTCGACCACGTGCCAGCAGGGAAAAAGGCCGCGGGTCCGGTTTGTTAGTCGAGGCGAGTTTGTTACCCGAGGTAAATTTTTCCTGCCGAAGCTGGTCGTAACCCGAAATGTTCGTTAGTAGAGGCGTTCATAACCCGAGGTACCACTGTAGTTTGTTTGAAACACAGGAAGGCATGACTGAGTAGGAAGGTGGCTTTCTGACTGTTGGTGTGCCTCTCTCTCATTTCATTTGTGAACACAGTCTTTCCCTACAGCTTGAAAATATTTTGACTCATTCATTATATTGATAGCTTCCTCTGAGGAGCTCAAAGCACCACACACTTAAGATAAATTAGGCTGAGAGATCATGAAAATCAACCTCAGAGTCCAAACAATGCAGTGAAATCCTTCATTATCAATTTGCCTGAGCTGAAGTCTAGAGCAGTGTTTCTCAATTTCAGCAACTTTAAGGTGTGTGGACCTCAACTCCCAGAATTCCCCAGCCAGACACTCCCAGTTCTGGGAGTTGAAGTCCACACATCTTAAAATAGCTGAGGTTGAGAAACATTGGTCTAGATGAAGCCCACCTTCCTTGCTAAAGCTAACACTTTAAACTGTTGTGCTTCTTCATTCCATCATTATTTTGCTGTCATCTACAACCCTCCCCCATCTCCCATGACATAGTGTGATTACCTGAAACAGGTTGGTTCACTTTGCTGCAAACAAGTAAATTCAGTCACACCCACACTGATGAAACATGGATGTAGAAAATATTTCAAGTAGACAGCTCCCAAATTATTTATTACATGGGTGGCTAGTCTCCTCTCTTTCTCTCTGTCCTCACATCCTTCCTCTCTTCTCCCTGTAATAGTCTCAGAGGAGAGTTCCTGTTGAGGGTGAGGTATACTACAACAGTTTGTTATAGATCCTGACTTCTTTCTCTTAATTATCACCAATATAATAAATGCACTTCCTTTTGCAGATATGAATGTGGATGAACCTGTTTTGAAACTCCACCTGGATGTGAAGTATGTTGTTTTTGAAAATTTGAAATACCATGTGCATTCTATACATAGGAAGTCCGCATTCTAAAGAGCAGTTTCTACCAATTTAGCATATGTAAAATAGTATGCTATTAAGAATTATATTTAATTTTACAATTATATTTAATTTTATCTCTTTATTAAATGTATATGCTACTGGCATGAATTCAGTTCCCAGCAGTTTACAGTATGTAATCATATATAATAGACTAAAAAACATAACACAACAATAAAAATCTATTAACTATAAATCCATGGTACCAACAAATCTTTCAGGAAAGTTCTGTCTTCAAGATCTGCTGGAAGGATGCCAAAGTAGGTTCTGCCTAAAACTCAGAGGGGAAATTGCTCCATAAGGTGAGGGCTACCACATAAAAACATGGCTTTCTGACAACCTTTCTTTTCATCTCATGAGTATAGGGCATCCTGATTCTCTCCCTTAGAATGAGTATATTAGATGAACAGTTCCACCTCAAATAGGTAGTCTTGAAAGTCCCAGGGCACCAAGCCATGTAGGACTTTAAAATTTAATGCCAGTACTTTCATTTGCACCTGAAAATCTATCAAAAGTCAATACAATGTATGCACCAATCTTATATGGCTCTTGACCATCAGCATGTGGGCTGCTGCATTATCCACTAGCTGCAGTTTCTGAGTGTTCTTCAAAAGCAGCCCCATGTAAAGTGTGTTGCAGTAACCTATTTTGGTCACGATAAGGATAATAAAGGTGTAAATCACCAGAGCCTCAAGATAAGGCTGCAAGTGGTGCACTAGCCAAACCCAGGCAAAGCTCCCCTGGCCACAGCATTCACTTCTACATGCTGCAAAAGCCAAGTTATAGACCTGCTTCTACCAGGGAGAATGACATTTCATCTAGAGATAAAACTAAAGCTAAATGAGAATCAGATACATGAACACCAACACAGGTTGGTTAGGGTTAACCCTCAACATATTTCATCCCA